CCCAGTCACCCGCCTGTGCCCATTGCCCGTCAGCCCCTTTATCTCCCAGCTCCCTGTTTCCCTGATCCCGGGCTCCTGGTGCCCCAAGAAGGGGGTCAGTGCCAGCTCTGCGTTCAGCCAAGGGGCTGAGTGGGAACAGGGACAATTGTGCTCAGACATGCCGGGTTTGGGGCTGGGCTGAGCTCTGGGGTGTCCCAGAGGGAAAGCTCTGGGAAGGGATGGGCAGGAGGACATGGGGGGATCAGGCTTTGGGGGCCGTTGGAGGATGGATTGTGTTGTGTGGGATTGTCCCCACAGGGTATGCAGCTGCTTTCAGCTCCCTGCCCACCCCCTTGGCACCCCCAGGGGCCTGGGCCCTTCCAGGGGCAGCTGCCCCGTGCAGGAAGCTGGAGGGATGCCGGGGAAGGTGGCTGGATGGGTGCCGCAGGCGGGATGGACTCTGTGCCAGGGCTGGGCTTGTGGCCAGGGCTGGGGGCTGTGCCCAGCCGGGCTTTGCCCCGGGGGCTCTCGGGGAGGGGGCAGGGAGGAGTCCCGGCAGGGATAAATGTGCTCCTGCCCTTGTGCAGCCTCAGCCAGCGCTGCCCAGGCCCAGAGGAAGATGAAGGTCGCTGTGCTCAGCGTGGCCCTGCTCTTCACCATCCTGCTGCGCCCCCCGGCAGATGCCAAGGTGAGGCCCCCATGCCACGGCCATGGGCTCAGGGATGGGCCCCTTCCCAATCCAGGGGCTCCCCAGCACTCCCCAGCACCCCCAGCCCCGGGCCAGGCCACTTTCTTCTGGCCACAATTCCCTCTCTCCTTCCCCTTCCCACAATTCAACTCCTGCTGCTGCAGCTCCGCTTCCTCACGGGATGCTTGCACCCGGCTCCGTCCTGGCACAGTCCCAACGCTTCCTGCTCTTTCTGACCCCAAATCCCACCTTTTTGGGCCTCCCCATCCCATCCTCTTGGTCCCCTGGGGCATCTCCCCACCATCTCCTCTCTTTCCCAGCCAAGGCAAAGGCCCAACCCAAACTGGGTGGAACTGGGCCAAGCCCCACTTGAGTCCAAGGAGGACAAACAGGCCCAAGCTCCACCCTGGGCTCAAGTGGGACAAGGCCTGGCCAGGTTGAACTGGCACCAACTGGGAAATGCCCTGCCATGGCCCCTTCCCAGGGCCTTTCCTCCAGGCTTTGCCCTCAATGCCTTGCCTTTCCCCCTGCACTGGTGTCCCCAACTTGCCTGGCAGCCGCAATCCCAAAGAGCCCCGCTCAGCCCGGGGGGCAGCCGGGGCTGGAGGGGGTGGGGACACCCGTGTCCCCCCCAGCCCCACAAGGTCAACCCCAACCAAGCCTTTGCTCTCCTCCTGCAGCCCATTCAGGCCGACAGCGTCCAATGCGGGGAGGTAAGTCTGGGAGTTGGGGGGCACCCAGTGTGGGAAGTGGGGGGCACTTTGGGCCCCCCATCCCTTCCTGGCACTGGGGACACCCCAGTGACCAGTGATGTCTCCTTGTCTCTCTACAGGCAGGCGTCATCAGCGGCCCGGTGGGTACCAGGGCTTGTGCTGGGCCCAGACCCTCCCCTCTGGTGGCCACCACCCTCCAGGCCATCCCAGTGCTCCCCAGTCCACCCCAGTGTGCACCGGGGAGGCCCTTCCTCAGGGCCCCCACTCTACTCCCACACACCCCAGTCCACCCCACCACACACACACAGGGCATCATTCCCACACCATTTCTTCCCTTTTCTCCTCTAATCCTTCCCCTTTCCCATTGCCCACGACACTCATGTCCAGAAATCCCCTTCCTTGACCCCTCAGTCCCAAAGACCCTCCCAGTCCCTTCCAGTTTTCTCCCCTTCCCCATTTCTCCTGCCCCCACCCCTGCCCTGCTTCATTCCCTGGGTCCCCTCCACTGCAATCCCTTCCTCCTCACCCGCATCCCCCACAGTCCCATCCCTTCCACACCCCAATGCCCATCCTGTGGGATCCCCAATTCCCCCCACTTCACCCTCTTTGGGTCCCCTCCTCCTCCCCCCACCCTCCCTGCCAGCCCTGAATTCCCCTGGCTCTCCTTGTCTCCATCCCCACCCTGGGCCCTGCAGGAACAGGGATCCCAGGGGAAACTGGGTGCAGTGGGGCTGGGGGGAGCAGAAGGGATTTTCCCCCTCAGACCGGGGGCCAACCATGGGCTGGGGGGTCTGGAGACACCCGTGTGTCTCCCCCAGCCCCACAGGGGCCAATCCTGCTTAAACCTTTGCTCTCCTTCCCCAGCCAATTGCGGGACAAGGAGGAGGTGGATGTGTTGGGGTAAGTCCTGGAGTGGGGATGTCCCCAGTGTGGGAAATGGGGGGAAATGTAGTCCCCCCATCCCTCCTGGGCCTGGGAACACCCCAGTGACACCTCACACTCTCTCTCCAGGGAGGCATGGATGTCCATCGAGTGAAGAGGTCTGAGGTGGGTATCCCGAGTTCTGCTGGGCACAGACCCTCCCCTCTCATGGTCACGACCCTCCCCGGCATCCCAGTGTGTCCCAGTCCAGCCCAATGTGTCCCAGTACATCCCAGTGTGCCCCAGTACATCACAGTGTGTCCCAGTCCAGTTTGTTCCAGTCCACCCCAGTGTGTCTCTAACCCTGCCTTTGTCCCCAGCCCCCCGTGGCTGACCAGGTGGAGCTGCTGCGTGAGTGACACTCGGCTGCCTCTCTGCATGTCCAGGTGAGAAATATGGGAGGCTCCTCAGTCCCCCAAAGGAGCCTGGCAGGGCCCTGGGGGGTCCCTGAGCCCTCTGCAGTGGGCAGAGCTTGGGGACAGCAGAGGGACACGCAGGGGGCTGTCCCTGCTCCGTGTCCCGGGGCAGCTGGACAGAGCTGCCCCCAAGCCTTGCCTTGCACTGGGGGCTCTGCAGACCCCCAGGCTCACCGGGAGGGCAGGGAGGGGCTCGGGGAGGTGTCACAGCATCCCGGGCTCAGGGGCTCTGGGGCCACATGGATCTCAGCATCCAATTCCCTTCTCCTGCCCCAGCTCCCTGCAGACAGACGGGCTGGGGACAAGGCCCCTGCCATGTCCCTGTGGACACCGGGGGTGACGTTTGGGGCTCTGTCTTTCAGGACTGGAAGTGGTGGTGACACCCGTGTCCTGGCCCCCTCCAGCGGCATGAGGAGATGATCATCCCTGGAGGACCCCCCTGATCCCCTGGGTGCCCTGGCAATTTCCCTGCAAGAATCAATAAACCCCTGCAGCAAAACAAATGCTCTGTGTCTGTCTGGGTGGGTGTGTTCCCACCTCCACGGGTGCCTTCCCGTGTCCATGTGTGTTCCCACGTCCCCTGGGGCACCCGGTGGTTTGGGGGCACAGCGGGAAACAGGGTCTGACTGGGGCTGTCCAAGCACCGTCCCCAAGGAGCACAGCTTGGTGTCGGGGCAGGGGAGGGTCAGGGACAATCAGCCAAGGCCCCTCAGTCCTTCCCTGTGCTCTGGGAGGGATGGGAAAGGGGATCAAAGGAGCCAGCGGGTGTCAAATGCCCCCAGATCTCAAGGGCCAGGCTCGGGGCTGAAGGGATGGAGAGCAGCCCTGCATCCAAGGCCATGGGGATAGTGGGGGATGAAAAGCAGGATGGGAGCCAGCAATGGGAGCTCACAGCCCACAACCCCCCCGTGTCCTGGGCTCATCCCACAGCGTGGGCAGCAGGGGAGGGGGGTTCTGCCCCTCTGCTCCGCTCAACTGAGACCCCCCCTGCAGTGCTGCCTCCAGCTCTGGGCAGAGGGCTGGCTCGTGTCCCATTTGTCACCCACCAGCACCCCCAGAGCCCTCTCCCAGCAGGGACTTCCATCCCTTCCTCCCCCAGCCTGCACCGATCCCGGGGGTTGCCCTGACCCGGCTGCTCCACCTTGGTCTTGTCCAACCTCAGCAGATTCCCGTGTGTGCCGGGAAATGGGGGGAAGGGGAATTCACCCGTCTCTTGGAGATTTGTTTGTCTGCTGGTGCCCCAGGGAAAAACAAAACCCTGTCAGTCCCATCTAGTCTGTCCCATATTCCACCCAGGAACCCTCCATCAAACAGATCCACCAGGTGGGGGGAATTCCAGGGCCCTTCTTCAGGGACTGATAGTCTTTCCGTGATTCTGTGCAGAGGGTGAGCAGTGGCCACCAGCAGAGCAGGGCCATACCCACAGTGCAGCCTGTGCCAAAGCACACACAGCATAGAGGGGCTCCTCCGCCAGAACCAACGGCAGTCGCCATCAAGACTCCAGGATGTGTCCTCGTTTTCTTCTGTTCCCCCTGCTGGCTTTGCTTCTCCCATTCCCCCATCCCAAGGCTGTCCCCTCTTCTTCCCTCTGCTTGCCTCTGGGACAGGTGGGGACCTGTCCAACTTTGGCAGAAAGGGCACGGCTGCCACAACTGTCCCGACATTTGAGGAGAACTGCTGCGTTTGGTGACAGAATTGGAGCTCTTTGGGCCTAGGTGGGAGGGATGAGGAGAGTCATATTTTTGAAGGCGTCTTAAGGCTTTCTTCCTGGGCCGGGAGTTAAGACTTCTCTCTCTGCCCTTGCTCTGAGTGCAAATCAGTCCAGCAGACATCTTCAAGGCTGAAAGAGAAGCCAGGCCTGAAGGTTGAGCCAGAGCTGTCCTCTGCTCCCTTCAGCTCTGCTCACAGCTGCATCTTCAGCCTGTCCCAGAGGCCAGGCAAATGTGTGCCTTTCTTCTGGGAAGGCTTGAAGCACAGTGGTGTTAAGATCATGGCCTCCAGGTGAGCTATTGCTGCTACTCAGTTGCCAGACTCTTGCAGTGCTTTCGAGCCCTCCTCTTTGTGTTCTGGGCAGAAGATAGTGGGTGAGCTCCTGGTAACCCTAAAACACAGGCAAATCCCTGATCCCGTGGGAAGCAGATCAGTTTGTAGCCCATAAAGAAAAAGGGAAATTTCTTCAGCCTGCTTGTGGTCCATTGTAGTGTCCCTCTGCTGAGAAAGCTGGTGCAGAACCTCTGATCTTTCAGTTGGTGTTGTCATCAAGACAAAGTGGGACAAGATGTGTTTGAAAGTTTCTTCCTGCCCTGCTGTGTGCTGCCCGTTGGCTGGTGGAGCAGCAGAGCAGAAATTCACTGTTGGCATCTGGCAAAGCAGCAGGAGAGAGCAGTTGTGAGGGGAAGGGGGGTGAGGTGTCTGCTCTTCAAGAGGGACAAGACAAAGGAGTTGGGGAATTGTCCTGGAACTCTGGCCTGGCAGGCTTGGAGCGCTGGGTGGGCATTTCTTGAGAGCTGTGGTGGCCCCACTTCCTCCTGAGCCTCATTTGATGGCAGTGTGTCCAGAGGCAGCCCGGCTCCAGGCTGAAGCAAAAAGCCAGAGCGGGTGATGCGGGAGCTGCTCCAGCGCCTACCGCAGCCTGCGGCCCGGTGGGAGCGTCCCGGGCCCTGCCCCGGGGCGCCCTGAGGCGGGGCAGTGCCCACTCCCGCCGGCCGCCCTCACAAGGCCCAGGCCGCCTCCTTCCCACAAGGCCCAGCAGGGCCGCCCTCACACCTGCCCCGCCCTGCCCTGCCCCGCCCGGCCCCACCCTGCCCCGTGGCCTCTGTCACACCCCACGCTGACGTGCTGAGCCTTCCACCAGCCATTGTGACGCCACAGGCGCCAGTCGGGCACGGCTTTGTTGGTGCCCGCAGCCGGCGCTCAGAGCTGCTGGAGCCTCTCGGGGAGCAGCAGCACATCCCGCTCGGGGAGCATTGCGCGCCTGCATCGCCGTCTTGGCAGCTGCAGGCCACGACCACTGCGCAGGGCGACCTCGTCTGCCTTGTGCTTCATACCCTCTGCCCGTCCTTCTTCTCGTCCCCTTTGTCACCCTCCCCCTAAACCTCGCCCCGTCCCATTCCTCATCCCCACTTGGCTCCCGGCAGCCCGCCGGGGCCTTCTTGCCCTTCCTGCTGCTGGGAGCTCCAAGCAGGGCCATGCCGTGGCTTCTGAGCAAGAAGCGACGGCAGTCGCCCTCCAGCAGCCCCAGTGGGCAGCCCTGGGCTGCCACCAGCTCCAGCAGCGCCTCCCAGCTCCGGGAGCAGGGGCTGGGCAGGCTGCACCGCGCGGCCGCCCGCGGTGACCTGGGCTGGCTGAGGCGCTGGCGCTGGTACGTCAAGGTAGTCGGCATCGACAGGCCAGACCAGGAGATGCGGTGAGTTCTGGGCCACGCTGATGGCACACCTTGGCTGCTCCTGAGCCAAGCTGCAGTAGTCCTCGGCAGCCCTCTCTTAGGAACAAGGCTTGAAAAGTGACATTTGCCCTGTCAGCTGGGACAGGGAACTCTTGAGCTTTTCACTGCTCGGAGCTGCCGGCCGGGCTCCAGCGCTGCTGCAAACGCGTCTTGCCCACCTGCCCCTTGGCCGTGCTCTCTCTGCAGGGCTGTTCTGCAGCTGCTCAGCCCTCACCTGTTCTCTTCTGCCCTCTGGCTCATCAGGGCAGGGTTGCAGCAGCAGCAGCAGCAGCAGCAGCAGCAGGAGCAGAGTCCGGGCAGGGTCCCCAGGGTGCTGGGTAGAGACACAGCTTGGGCTCGTCCTTTGTCTGTCTGGGTTAAGAGCGTCCGTTTAATTTTTAGGACACCTCTGCATCTGGCTTCAGCCAATGGCCATGCAGATGTCGTCAGATATCTGCTAAGAAAGAACAGCCAGCCCAACCTCGCTGACAGCTTCAAGAGAACGGCCCTGATGAAGGTGTGTGCAATGCCTTCTGAGCTTGGAGGTGGGGCTCAGTGCTGGGGTGTTAAAGGGGAGGTGTCTGGCAGGATTCCTTGCAGGGCAGGGCCATAGAAACACGCCTATTGCAATGGGCAGGGCACAGCCTCTGTTAGCTGATCTTTGCAGATGGTCTTCTATGGCAGCACTCAGGAGCTGAGGGAGTTGTGAGAGAGGGGGATGGAAAAGTTGGAAGCCTTTCCCTTTTGGTGTGTTGTTGCCAGGCAGTCCAGCAGGAGCAGGAAGAATGTGTTGCTGTTCTGCTGGAACACGGTGCCGACCCCAATCTGGCAGACGCTGACGGCAACACTGCCCTTCACCTGGCTGTGCTCTCTAAAAACACAGCTGTAGCAGGGCTGTTACTGGAGCATCATGCCAACAGTGATGCTCAGAACCAGGTAACCTTGGCACGGGGCTAAAGCTGCTCTTTCCAAGAGCTGCAGAGCTTGTCTGTGTCTTTCTAATGGGGATTCTTGCTCCTTTTAGTGGGGATTTACCCCCTTGAAACTTGCAGCCTTGCAACAGCACGAGGAGATTCTGGAGTGCCTTGTGAACAAAGCAGCTGACAGGCCTGCTCAAGCCCAGGGGGAAAGGTGAGGGCTTTGTCAAAACAGCCCCCGGGTGTTCTGGGTAGTCTGCAAGTGTGACCCAGACGAGGGGCGTGGCAATGAGCTGGGCAAAAGAAGGAGCAGCCCCGTGGAAGCAGTTCCCCGTGGGACTGGTAAATGCAGGTCTGCCCTTGGCTGCTCTCGTACCTCAGGGGCTCTCGTCCTTTGCCCGCTGAGGTCTGCAAGAAAGCCTTGTCTGTGGTGCCCTCTCCCCACCCAGAGCCAGAGCCCCGGGGAAACTTGCCAGTAGCTCAGCAGCGTGGCTGCTCTGCAGGCCAGGGGGGTTTAAGGCACGGCAGAGTTGGGGCGTTCAGTGCTCTGAAGGGAAGCGTTGGGGGAAAGAGAAGCAACACTGTCCCAGGGGACACGAGGGGCTCCGAGCACAGAAGGAGAAAACTTCCTGCCATGGAGATGGTCAGGGGGTCGAAGGGCTTGCCCTGGGAGTTTGTGCAGCCGCATGTGGGGGGACTTTGAAGAGCAGTGCAAGGAGCCCTGAACAGCATGGCCTGAGCTGGTAGCTGAGGCTGCTTTAGGGAGGCCCCTTGTAAGAGAAATTCTCCAATGCTTCCATGGACTTGGCTTTGCTTTCCCGGAGCTTGTAGGAAAGGGGGGAAGAGCTGTTTTGGGAGCAAGCAGGGGAAAACTGATGCAGGGTCAGACACGTTTCTGATGAAATTTTGCATGCTTTAGGAGTGCTCTTGTGGTTCCTGGAAGCCATGAGGCTCACCTGGAGGAAGATAATCTGCGCTTGCAGGAGGAGCTGGACAGGGCTGGCGCGGAGGTATGGAAAGCCTGTCCCCACAGGGAGAAACCTGGGGGTGCCTGTTGCTTCCTATCCATCCTGAAAACGGACAAAACAGTGTTCAGTGTGTTCATTGGGGAGTAGAAGTGAAGCTTTGAAGGGACTTGAATGGATTTCAGTTCTTTGGGCAGAGGGGATGCACACAGACATGCAGCACCTGAGTTCTTCAGCAGCAGCTGGCTCCTCTCTGGAAAAGCTCCCCTGACAACTGTGGATTCTTCCCGTGGTTTTACAGCTGCAGGAGGAGGAAGAAAAGCATCTTCAGTCTGAGCATTGTGTTCCTGACTTGAAGAGTGCCTTGGATGCCAAGAAAAGAGAGGCAATAACTTCCTCCCAGGAACTGCAGGACCTCCTGGAAGAAGACGCGCAAGAGTAAGAGAGGAACCCAGTGAAGCGAGGGGTCTGTGGCTTTGGGGATTGGGTGGAAACAGGGGGAGAGTCAGTGGGATTTTGAAGGACACTTCTGCTGTGGCTTCTGTTCCTTAGCACAGTTTGTCTGGCATTGGATTTTCTGGTCATAAGAGCTGTATTTCTTCTTAAGCTTTGCAAGTGAGAACAGCAGATTGGAAGCCACTGTCCAGCAGCCAAGCGAGAGCGTTGAAGCCCTTCCGAGAGCCCTGCAAGCCTCTGCCTCAGTAAGCTGGTGCTAAATTTGCCTTTTTGTGACTCTTGAGCCTAGTTGCCTATTTCTGTGGGGCAATTGTCAGATGAAGTTTTCCTGCAGAGCCTGGGGAGCTCAGTTTCTGCCTTCTCCTCAGCAGAGGCTGCTCAGAAAGCAGCCTGGTCCTTTCCCCAGCTGCTACAAAAGCCCTGAGGGTATTTGGTGTGCTGGACACTGGAGGAATTCTTAGATTCTAAATGAGGAGTTTCATCATGAGCTCCAAGGGACCCAGAAGTATTGTTGCCAGAAGTGTCTCCCAAATTCTTAAGTAGGTGTAAAGTTTCTTCTTTCTGTCGGGGAATCTTTCAGGTGTTTTCTAGGCTGGTTTCCAGTAGATGATAAATACAGTTGCCATGGCCACCCCCTTGAGAGGTTTTCCCAGAATTCACTGCCTTTAGATCACGCTGAGTTTCCTTTTCTTTTATTTCTCTGTGCACAGGGTGGTGAACTTTCCCAGCAGCTGGACATGGAGCCTGGAACAGGCATGCAGCTCGAGGCCCTAAACCAGGCTTTGCAAGAAGAGCTGTCCACTCTGCTTGGGAAGTGTGAACAACTGGAGAAGAGCAAATGTCAGCTGCAAGAAGAGATGACAAAACACCACCATCATTTGGAGACTTTGGTGCTGGATGGCAGCCAAAGAGAACAGTGTACAAGAGAGGTGGCAGAAGGAGCTGACCAGGAAAGAAGTCCAAAGCTACAAGAGGTCAGCCTCGTTTTGCAAGTAAGTGAATTTCTCCCCAGTGTCCACAGGCTCTTCATTAGGAGCTTTGAAGCAGAGTGCTCATTTGGGCTTCTTTCCCACTGCAAAGAATTGTTTGCCCTGGTAGCTCCTGGGTTCTGCCTTGGTTGCTGCTGGGAGTGAGGAGGCAGAGCCGCCTCTCTGAGTAAGGCTGGGCCCTTGAAAGTGGGTGTGTGCAATTTTGTGCTGGGCAGAGCTCTCTTTTTCTTGTGGTGGTTGAAGGTGCACTGTCTCCTTCAGGCACAGGCAGCCCACCAGGCCCCACTAGGACAAACTGGAGACATTCATTGTGAATCCATGAGAATCCAGTTGGAAGAAAGAATTAGAAATCTGGAAAGTGAATTGGAGAGGGTCAAAAACACCCAACAAGAGAGAGCTTCTCGTAAAGAAGCAACACAGGGAGGGATGGAAATGTACAAAGAGCTGTATGTGGAGGAAGTGAAAACCAGAAGATGCCTGGCCAAGAAACTGGAAAGGTAAGTCCATGCTTGTTTGGAGTGGTAATAAGAGAGTCCTTTTTCTTCCTGCATTTTCCTTGGAAATCCATCTTCTCCATCTGGCCAGCATTATTGCCCTCCATTGGCCAACAGGGTCTGATGGAGTTGCCAAGACCCTCTCCTTGATATTTGAAAAGTCGTGGCAGTCAGGGGAAGTCCCAGGTGAGGGGAAAAAGGGAAACCCACTGTGCCCATCTTTGAAAGGGGTAGAAAGGAGGGTCCTGGGAACTGCCAACCTGTCAGCCTGCCCTCTGTGCCTGGGGAGGTGATGGAAAAGATCCTTCTAGAAGCTCTGTCAAGGCACGTGGATGACAGGGAGGTGATTGGAAGCACCAGCACAGCTTCCCCAAGGGCAAGTGCTGCTTGACCAACCTGGTGGCCTTCTAAGATGGAGTGACTGCCTCAGTGGACAAGGGCTACCCATGTCATCTCCCTGTCATTCTGGAAAGCCTTTGACACAGTCCCCCACAACATCCTTCTCTCCAAAGTGGAGAGAGATGGATTGGATGCGTGGACTGTTAGATGGAGAAGAAATTGGGTGAACAGTGCCATGCAGAGGTGGTGATCAATGGCTCAGAGTGCTGAGGGCCATCAGTGCCGAGTGGTGTCCCTGAGGGGTCTGGACTGGGCCCAGTGTTCTTTAATGTCTTCACTAATGATCCAGAGGAAGGGATGGAGTGTGCCCTCAGCAAATTTGCAGCTGCCACCAAGCTGAGGGGTGTGGTTGACACAGGTGATGCCACCCAGAGGGCCCTGGACCAGCTGGAGAAGTGGGCCCATGGCAATCTGCTGATGGTTTAACCAGAGCCAGTGCAAGCTGCTGGCCGTGGCTCAGGGCAGCCCCTGTATCAGTGCAGGCTGGGGGATGAAGAGGGGCAGAGCAGCCCTGCCGAGAAGCCCTTGGGCTGGAGGAGAGGCCGGACATGAGCCGGCGATGTGCGCTCGCAGCCCAGAGAGCCAATTGTGTCCTGGGCTGCGTCCAAGGCAGCGTGGCCAGCGGGTGGAGGGAGGGCATTCTGCCTCTCTGCTCTGCCCTTGGGAGAGCCCAGCTGGAGGGCTGCATCCAGCTCTGGGCTCCTCAGCACAGCAAGGACCTCCAGCTGTTGGACTGAGTCCAGAGGAGGCCACCAAGGTGCTTGGAAAGATGGAGCACCTCTGCTAGGAGGAAAGGCTGGGACAATTGCAACCCTTCAGCCTGGCAAAGAGGAGGCTTTGGGGTGACCTAATTGTGGCCTTTTGGGGTGTGAAGGGAGCCTACAAGAAGGATGAAGAGAGTGCATTTAAAAGAGCAGGTAGTGAGAGGACAAGGGGGAATGGCTTCAAATGGAAAGAGAATAGGTTTAGATTTGATCCTGGGAAGAAATTGGTTGCTGTGAGGGTGGTGAGGAACTGCAACAGGTTGCCCAGAGAAGCTGTGGATGCCCCATGGCTGCAAGTGTTCAAGGTCAGGTTGGATGGGGTTGTGAACAGGCTGGTCTGGTGGAAGGTGTCCCTGCCCACAGCAGGAGGCTTGGAACTGGATGATCTTTAAGGTCCCTGCCAAGCCAAGCCATTCTAGGCTTGGATGCTGTCTGTGCTGTTTCTGTGAGACTGTGGGGGAAAGGCTGGTTCTTCCTGTGTTTCATGGTTTTCTTCACTAATTTGCTGTGCAGGCTGGAAAAGCTTCTGAGGATAGAGAGCAGGAAACTCCGGGTTAATGAAGAGAAAGGAAGTCAGTCCCAGCTGGAAGAAATGAAGAAGAGATATTCTGAAAAGGTCAAGGAAGTTGATGGATTCCAAAGAGAGGTGAGCTGCGCTCTGGGTGGGGCTCTTTGGTTGTGGTGTTCCTTCTTTTGAAAGCTGGGAGATGCTTTCCCTCTGTTTCTTGTCATGCTGATGATTTTTTTTTTCCCCTTGGCTGCATTTTGGATGTGATGGGCTTTTCTTAATGCTCCTCCTGCTGTTCCAGTGGGAGATGACTCGAACTAATCCGGGGTAGTTCTCCTTCTGGGGAAAGATGCAAATGTTGAGGGCAAAGCAGTAGGTGTAAGGGCTGATGGAGGCCAGGCTGTCCTGCAGAGGAGGGGCAAGCCAGGAGTGGCAGCCAGCCTGGCAGGGTGCGTGAGCTCCCGGGCCAGGGAGCCGTCCCACAGGCCCTGAGCAAGAAGAGCAGAACAGGTCCCCTGAGAGTGAGCGGGGTCAGCCAAGAGTGCAGATCCCCCGGCTGGGCCTGAGGGATGGGCAGGTCTGCCGTCCTGGCAGGACATCACGTGCATGGGCTGAGAGCAGTGGGGCCCAGCTCAGGCCTGGCTGCAGCTGGAGGGAGGCTGTGACAGCGTCCTCTGGGTGTGCCAGATGAATTGCTGCCCTGGCAGAGAGGGGAGGAACAGCGCTGTCACTGGCAGGGCACCATCAGCCCCTGAGCCCTGTCCCAGGCACGAGCTGAGCAGGAGGCCCTTGAGGTTTGGCTTTTCTGCACAGTGTTGTTGCTGCCCAGGGCCCAAGGAGGACAGGGGCCTCCCAGGGGAAAATCTGTCCCTTCTTGCTCACGGGGAGCTGTTTCAGCCCATCCTGTGGCGGGGAGCCCGAAGGACTGTTCCCAGCAGTGCTTTTGAGGCTGCTGTGCCTGTGCAGCAGTGGCACAGAACCTCTCATCCCTTCTCCACTCGTCACTCGGATCCGTTGCTAAAGCGGCGTCTGTCAGAGTCACGCTTGGGTTTGAAGACATCCCTGTAGAATGGCTTCCTGCCTTTGCAGTCATTCCTTTGGAGTCCAGAAGCTTGGAGCATTTTTGCATGAGGAACTCCAAAAGGATGGGAAGCTGAGGAATCCCGTGAAAAATGATGGGAAAGCTGTTCTTGCTGGAAAAGAAAAGCCTGGTTGCACTTTGTGTCTAGTCCTGAGCCAGCAGATGATGAATAAAGTCTCCCTGGGCACCCCCTTTTGAGGTTTTCCAGGAATTCACTGCCTTTACACCACGCTGAGTTCCTTTTTTGTTCCTTCTGTCTGCAGGTTGCTGAACTTTCCCAGCAGTTGGACAGGGAACGTGAACAGTGCACGCAGCTGGAGGCCAAAAATCAGGCTTTGCAAGAAGAGCTGTCTGCCCTGCGTGGGGAGTGCGAGAACCTGGCCATGGACAAATGCCAGCTGCAAGAAGAGCTGGCAAAACTCCACCATCATTTGGAGACCAACGTGGTGGATCGCAGCCAACTCGAACAGTGCAAAAGAGAGGTGGAAGAACGAGCAGACCAGGAAATAAGACAAAAACTCCAAGAAGTCAATGAGTTTTTGCAAGTAAGTGAATTTCTCCCCAGTGTCCACAGGTGCTACGTAAACTTCTCTTGTGGCCATGGTTTTTGGTCTTTTTCTTTTGCTCCTGTGTTCTGTGGGTTAGCTTCTGTCTTTGCTGAAGGCAGTGGCAGAAGGCAATCTGGTTGGGCAGGAGTGCTGTCATGGGTGTGGAATGTGGTGGCAGGTCCCTGAATGCAAAGGCTGCCCAAGGCAGATTCCCACTTTGCAGTGCTTGGGGGGATCTCTGTGCGCTGCTCTGCTTCTCACTGCTCATCCTTGGATGGGTTTGGCAACTTGCAGCTGTCATGGCCAGACCTACAGGTGCTGCTTTGTCCTTGTAGGGGGTGAAAGTGCTCAGAAAAGGAGTCACTGAAATTCCAGGGATGGGAGGGAGGGGGTGGAGGTGGATGTGGAAGCTCTTCTTGTCTTTGAAGAATCCTTTTGGACATGCCCTGTCCTACAGACCCAGTGTCTCTTCATTAGTAGCTTTGAAGCAGAGTGCTCATTTGGGCTTCTTTCCCACTGCAAAGAATTGTTTGCCCTGGCAGCTCCTGGGTTCTGCCTTGGTTGCTGCTGGGAGTGAGGAGGCAGAGCCGCCTCTCTGAGTCAGGCTGGGCCCTTGAAAGTGGGTGTGTGCAATTTTGTGCTGGGCAGAGCTCTCTTTTTCTTGTGGTGGTTGAAGGTGCACTGTCTCCTTCAGGCACAGGCAGCCCACCAGGACACCTTAGAAGAAATCAGAAGCAGTCATGTGGACTCACTGAAAAAACAGTTAGAAGACAGAATTAGAGATCTGGAACGTGCACTGGGAAGGACAAAAAGCAACCAAGCAGAAAGACCTTTTCAAAAGGAATCCACCCAGGCAGAAGTGGACAAGTACAAAGAGCTGTATCTGGTGGAAGCCCAAAGAAGAAAAAGCCTCACCAAGAAACTGGAAAGGTAAGTCCCTGCTTTTTTGGACTGGTAAGAACAGACTCCTTTTTCCTCCTGCATTTTCCTTGGAAATCCCTTTTCTGCATCTGGCCAGCATCAGGTGTGAAAGCAGAACGTGGCATCTTTGTGGGGAAAGTTCCTTCAGAGCCTTCCCTTCCTCAGACCTGTCTTCCTTTCTCTTTAGAGTTCCAGCAGTAACCCCACAGCAGCACCACTCTGGCATTATTGGTGTCTTTTCAAGTTGAGGTTGTTTTAGCAGGCAGTCTTTTTGCCAGTCTCTACTCTCCTCATCCTGTGGGTGACAGAGAAGATGAATCTTGTGCCCTTTCCTGTTTGAATAAGGAGAGGCCTCTGGGAGAAGAGAGTTGGATTCTGTGAATCCAAAATAAGGCGGCTCTTTCTTGGCTTCTGTTTTGGCAGCGGGTCTGAGGGTTGAGCTTTCCTTGAGAAGGCCAGGGTAGCCCAGAGTTCTTCTGGAGGTGCCACTGGCTGCTCCTTGCACTTGGTGTGATTTCTTAGAAACAGGCCCTGTGAACAAGCTCAGATCAAAGGATGTGCTGGTTTTGGACGCTCTTCATGCCCTTGGCTTTTAGAAGTCGAGTAGTAGCCAAGGCTGTGGAGGGTAACTTTGCGAAAGCCTTCCTGCCAAAGATGACTCTGTGTGTGCTTGTGAATGTTTCAGAGCTACTGAGAGACTTGCAGTGGCCAACACCAAGCTCTTTTTGGAGCGCCACAGAAGCAGATCTGTGGTCCCAAGCAGCGCTGTCAGCGGACTTCTGGCTGCAAGTCCACTTCTGGATTCACCTGGCCTGGGACATGTTGGCATCAGTTTGGGACTGAGCAGAAGTCTGGCTCTCAGAACACCACCCAGACACCTGTGGTAAAGCCCAAGACTTCTGCTCATCAGGTTGGTACAGATTTTCCAGAGTGGTCAAAGGCCCAAAAAGGTTGAAATGGAAGCAATGAGCTGTGGAACTCCATTCTTTTCCAAGAGAAACTGTGGGCAAGAGCTCTGTGGCACAGGAACCTCCCACCTAAGTTCTACCCTAAATTTACACGTAGTAATCTTCTGTAGTCTGTGGGGTTTGGCAGGAAGCCAACTCCAACTGGCTACAGATGGTTTTGGTGTCAGAAGTGGGATTGTTTTGGTTCCTTTGGTTTTGTTGTGGGAACATTGTCTGGGAAAGCTGCCAAGAGCAGGTTTGTTTTGTCAACATCCCCCATTGTTTTGGGACACTCCTGGGAGAGCTGCCAAGAAGGATTTTGTTTATCTAAACATAGCTTTGTTTAGGAAGAAGGAGAAAGAAAAATAATAACAATGGCCTTTTTACTAATTTTATTCCTGATTCTTGCTGTTTTTGTGCCTGTCCTAGGACATCCTGTGAGGGACCGTTCAGATGGATGGAACAAATTGCTTCCTTTCCTTAATTTCGACATCCACGGCCTAGTAGCCAGTTTCCTTGATGGTGGCCTTCAAGGTTTGGTAGCAAAGACTCCAAGATCAGCTCTAACCCATCCCTACATTGCTCAGCGACAATGATCCTAGTGGTGAGGGCAGCGAAACTGCTACTTAAAATTGGAGAGGTGGTGCTGCATTGGTCCCCTTGTTGTACGAAAGGAATCGCTGGAGCTTTGGGGACAAGAAGTGCCAACGGCCACGACAACTGTACACAGGCAACAGTATCGGAGGAACCGAGATGCTGTGACCCCCATCCATCCATCCAGTACATCCATGACATCATTGTGGGGGGGACACAGCAGAAGAAGTTTTCGAGAAAGGACAGAAGATCATCCAGATTCTCCTCGAGGCCGGTTTTGCCATCAAGAAGAGTAAGGTCAAGGGCCCTGCCCAAGAGATCCAGTTCCTAGGGCTGAAATGGCAAATGGACGACACCAGATACCAACAGACGTCCTCAACAAGATTGTAGCAATGGCTCCACCCACAAACAAGAAAGAAACCCAAGCTTTTCTGGGAGCCATTGGCTTCTGGAGGATGCACATCCCAGAGTACAGCCAGATGGTGAGCCCTCTTTACTTTGTGACCCGTAAAAAGAACAATTTCCAGTGGGGTCCTGAACAACAACAAGCTTTCAGGCAGATCAAGCAAGAGATTGCACATGCCGTGGCTCTTGGAGCAGTCAGGACAGGACCAGAGGTAAAGAATGTGCTCTACTCTGCAGCTGGAGATAAAGGTCCCTCCTGGAGCCTCTGGCCAAAGGTGCCTGGTGAGACGTGAGGGCGACCACTGGGTTTCTGGAGCCGAAGCTACAGAGGTTCTGAGGCCAATTCCACCCCTGAGGAGAAGGAAATCTTAGCAGCCTATGAAGGCATACGAGCAGCTGCAGAGGTAATTGGTCCCAAAGCACAGCTCTTCCTGGCACCCCAGATGGGACCCCAGCATGCAAAGTGTAACTGGATAAGGGAAAAAGGGGGTAGGGTTTATCCATTTTAGGGAAAGGGTGGCCAAAAAGGAAATACTGCAATGCAGCAAACTTTGGCCAATCAGGGAGCGGGGTCTAAGGATACAGACATCAAGGGGATTTTTCATCAAACAATTTCAGGGGACAAACAAGGGAAAAACTACAGTAAATGTTTAGACACAACCGTAAAACTGGAAAGGCTTTGGGTCTGAACTTCTTGACAACTTCATCCAGGGCTTTCATCCTCTGGAGGGTCACACATTTCTTGTTGTCTTCTCCAGCTTTCAGATTCAGCAATGTCCTCACTCCCGACAGACCAGGGTCCCCTTTCCAGAGTAATGGAGGAGCACCGGGATTTTTTAATCCAAAATTCCCGGATTGGAATGAAATGCTCTGGAAAGGCTCTGGAAATCATTCGGGGTTCACAGTGAGTCTCTGGTTTCCCATCCCCTGCTTCAGATGTGAAAACATGTTCCTTGCAGTCGGAATGTAAACTCATCAGCTCCATTAAACTTGAGCACTATATCCCATCATCCAGATCATCAAGGAAGATGTTCACCAGGAATTGCTGATCACTGGCCTCCAGCTGGATGTTGCACTCCTGATCACCACCCCAGCCAGCAGATTTCAACCAGCCTGCTGTCTGCTCATCCAGCCCATACTTCATGGGCTTCTCTGTGAGGGAGCCCTGTCTGTGTCCACTAGTACACACATTCATTTGGATTTTAAACAATCAAACAGAAGTGAGAGTTTTAACAGCAGAATTATTTTTCAAAGGGAAATAGAAGGGTAAGAGTTTTTAATTTTAATGATCATGTTTTACATGGTACTAATTGACATCTAGTAGAAATGAGACAGCACCTTAAGAGACAAATCTACATTCTCTATTTATGCCTCTGAATTACAGGTATGGCTTTGATGGAACGAGTGCCTTCAAGCTCCATTGGCAGGCACTGTTTGAAAACTATTTGGGTGATTTTTGATAAGAAATGAAAGATGCAACGGCAGGAAGCCATTCAGCAATCCCTGACAAGGGAGGTCCACTGTCAATTGCTGGGAGGGCCCCCACCTGTTTCTTTTAATGGTGCTCCCAAATCCCACCCCTTGGGCCTCCCATCCCATCCCATCCTTTTTGGTCCCCTCAGGCATCTCCTCCCCAGCATCTGCTCTGTGTCCTACCCAGGGTCCCCAAACATCCTCCCACTGATCATTCCCAAAGCTTTTCTTTCCATCCTTCCCCTCAGACCTTTGCCTTTCATCCAGGTCACTGCCCTGGTACCTCCCAAGACCATTCCTTGCCTCCCTCTCCACTCCCAACCATCTCCCAGTGCCCTCGTTTTTGTCCTCCTCCATCATCCTCCTCCTGTCCCCACCAAGCCTCTCCCTTGCAGTCCCCATGTCCCTACACTTGAATTCCTTTCCCCTCCCCTGCATCCCACACAGGGCCCCTTCAACACCCCAATCCCAGTCCCGTGGGCTCCCCAGTTCCCCCCAGTTCAGCATCTTTGGGTCCCCTCCTACTCCCCCCACCGTCCCTGCAGGCCCTGAATTCCCCTGGCTCTCCTTGTCTCCATCCCCACCCTGGGCCCTGCAGGCACAGGGGTTGGAGGTGAAACTGGGTGGAGTGGGAGCAGGGGGAGCAGAAGGGATTTTCCCCCTCAGACGGGGGCAGCCCTGGGCTGGGGGGGCTGGGGACCCCCGTGTCCCTCCCCCAGCCCCACAGGGGCCAATCCTGCTTAAACCTTTGCTCTCCTTGCCCAGGCACTCTTGGCAGGAACCCAAAATGATCTGCGGGAGGTGAGTGGGCCGGGGGGACTGGAGGGCATCCAGTCTGGGAACTGGGGGACACTTTGGTCCCCCCATCCCTCGCTGGCACCGGGGACATCCCAGTGACCAGCCAGGGCTCCTGGGCTCTCTCCAGCTGCATTTAGTGGACGTTGGGATCCTGAAGATGGCTCAGGTGGGTACCAGGAGTTCTGCCTGAGTGGGGTCCTCCCCTCACATGGCCATGACACTCCTAAGCCATCCCAGTCTGCCCCAGTATACCCCAGTGCACCTTCCCCAAGGATCCCATTTCTCCCCCCAGGCTCCCAATACATCCCACTGCACCCAGTGTGTCCCTAACCCTGCCTTTGTCCCCAGCCCCCTGTGGTGGAGAAGGTGGTGGGTCCTGTTGGTGAGAAAGGCGTGGCTGCATCCCTGGATGGCTGAGGTGAGCAGTGCCTGCAGGGAGAGGGGTCAGGACAAGGCCCCTCTCATGTTGCAGTGGACTTTGGGGGTGACGTTTGGGGCTCTGTCTTTCAGGACTGGTGGTGACACCCATGCCCTGTCCCCCTCCAGTGGCATGAGGAGATGATCAATCCAGGAAGAACCCTCTGATTTCCCTCAGAGCCCAGGGGCATTTTCCCTGAATGATCAATAAATCCCTTCAGCAAAGCTACTCTGCTTGATCTTGTGTGTGTGTTCCCATCTCCATGGGTGTGTTCCCATCTCCATGGGTGTGTTCCCATAGAATCACCACTTCCCTGGGCAGCCCATTCCAATGGCTGATTACCCTCTTTGTAAAGAAATTCTTTCTAGTATCCAACCTAAACCTCCCCTGGCACAGCTTAAGACCCAGCCCTCTTGTCTTGCTGATGGTTGCCTGGGAAAAGAGACCAACCTCCACCTGGCTACAACCTCCTGTCAGGGAGTTGTAGAGAGTGAGGAGGTCTCCCCTGAGCCTCCTCTTCTCCAGGCTGAACAGCCCCAGCTCCCTCAGCCTCTCCTCACAGGACTCGTGCTTGAGTCCCTATCCCAGCCTTGTTGCTCTCCTCTGGACCTGCTCCAGGACCTCAATGTCCTTCCTGATCTGAGGGGCCCAGAACTGGACACAGCACTCCAGGGGTGGCCTCACCAGCACTGAGTCCAGGGGAAGAATCACTTCCTTGGACCTGCTGGCCACACTGTTCCTGAGCCAGGCCAGGATGCCATTGGCCTTCTTGGCCACCTGGGCACACTCTGGCTCCAGTTCAGCTTCCTGTCAATCCAAACCTCCAGGTCCCTTCCTGCCTGGCTGCTCTCCAGCCACTCTGTCCCCAGCCCAGGGGGCTGCAGGGGGTTGTTGTGGCCAAAGGGCAGGACCCGGCCCTTGGCCTGGTTGAACCTCATCCCGTTGGAATCAGCCCAACTCCCCAACCTATCCAGGTCCCTCTGCAGAGCCCTCCTGCCTTCCAGCTGATCGACACTCCCCCCCAGCTTGGTGTCATCTGCAAACTTGCTGATGATGGACTCAATCCCCTCATCTCATCATGGCCAGTCTTCACAAATGAAGATTTGGGAAAGGTCTCCACCCACATTTGTTACAAGCACACTGGTGATACAGGGCTTTGCAAATGCGGGTAAGGCCTTCGAGCCTGCGCAATGGATATTTTAGGTGAGACACAGTGTGCGCTGAACTGAGCCCACCCTTTCATCCTGAGGTTCATCTGCCGGGGCCGAGCGAGCTTGGACGGTGGCAGCGAGGTCCTCAGGACGTAGGTTTGTTTAGAGTGACCTTCTCTTAGATGGATGACCAGGTCGAGAGCAAAACGGCCTCAGAGCTTTTTCCAACACACACCCCCCTTGCCTCCGTTAAGGCAGAAAGTGAAGTGCCACTTTCCAAGGAGAGGAGGGGAGAAAAAAACCCCTCACGCCCCCCCCCCAGCCCCAGAGGGAGCTGTCAGGCTGGAATGTAGTTCTGCCAGCCAGCTCCTTTGGGTAGGTAATCACCCAAGGCAGAAAACTGTCCTCCCCATTCAACATCCCTCCCCCACAGGCAGCAGGGGAAAGAAAATTCCCGTTCAGTTTTTTAGAACAAGTAAACCCGTGACACTGGGGAACAAATCCCCCAGTGTATTTCCCCCATCTCTACACTGTCAACTCCTTTGAACACTAGGCTGGGCAGGGATTCTTACTGTCATTGGATCTCTGTGAACACAAACAGAGCTGTCCTTGGGGGCTGAATGACTGCAAGGCTCATAAGTGAACACAGCAGTGAGGACTTGTGCTCCACATCCCAGCAGCTGTGCCACAGGGAACTGTGTTACTGGTAAATTTCCTTGAATCTGGCGCAGTGCTACAGCAGAGCCCATTCATCCTGGGTTTGATCCTACTAATCGTCCTACTAACCATCATCCTGGGTTTGCACCTAACAATTTTCTTCTCATCGAAACCCCCTTTCCATACTTGTTGGGTTTAACAGCCTTTGCAACACCTTGCAAAGTACAGTGACACAAAAGAGCTGGTTAATATTCAAGGATCACTTCTATCGAGCTCAAGAGAGTTTCATCCTAAAAAGCAGAAAGTCAGGCAAAAATTCCAGGAGGTCTGCATGGATGGCTTGACAAGGAGCTTCTTGTTCAAACACAAAAAGGAAGCTTACAGAGAGTGGACGCAAAGAAAGAAAACAGAAATGTTATCTGGGCATGCAGGGGTGAAGTTGGTAAAGCCAAAGCCCAAATGGAACTGAATCAGGCCAGTGATGTCAGAGACAACAGGAAGGACTTCTTTAAGTCTGTAGGTGACAAAAGGAAAAGCAGGGAAAATGTGGGCCTATCTCTCAACAAGATGGGGCAGCTTGTTCCACAGGACAGGAAAAAAGCAGAAATACTGAATGTCTTCTTTGCCTATGTCTTTCCTGGCTTTTCCTAACCTTCAGGGATCAGGACAACTGTCTCTAGGAAACCCTGTTCCAGAACAGGCCTTGGACTAGAGCACCTTAGTCTTTCCGTGATTCTGTGCAGAGGGTGAGCAGTGGCCACCAGCAGAGCAGGGCCATACCCACAGTGCAGCCTGTGCCAAAGCACACACAGCATAGAGGGGCTCCTCCGCCAGAACCAACGGCAGTCGCCGTCAAGACTCCAGGATGTGTCCTCGTTTTCTTCTGTTCCCCCTGCTGGCTTTGCTTCTCCCATTCCCCCATCCCAAGGCTGTCCCCTCTTCTTCCCTCTGCTTGCCTCTGGGACAGGTGGGGACCTGTCCAACTTTGGCAGAAAGGGCACGGCTGCCACAACTGTCCCGACATTTGAGGAGAACTGCTGCGTTTGGTGACAGAATTGGAGCTCTTTGGGCCTAGGTGGGAGGGATGAGGAGAGTCATATTTTTGAAGGCGTCTTAAGGCTTTCTTCCTGGGCCGGGAGTTAAGACTTCTCTCTCTGCCCTTGCTCTGAGTGCATATGAGTCTGGCAGACATCTTCAAGGCTGAAAGAGAAGCCAGGCCTGAAGGCCGAGCCAGAGCTGTCCTCTGCTCCCTTCAGCTCTGCTCACAGCTGCATCTTCAGCCTGTCCCAGAGGCCAGGCAAATGTGTGCCTTTCCTCCGGGAAGGCTTGAAGCACAGTGGTGTTAAGATCATGGCCTCCAGGTGAGCTATTGCTGCTACTCAGTTGCCAGACTCTTGCAGTGCTTTCGAGCCCTCCTCTTTGTGTTCTGGGCAGAAGATAGTGGGTGAGCTCCTGGTAACCCTAAAACACAGGCAAATCCCTGATCCTGTGGGAAGCAGACTGGTTTGTAGCCTGCAGAAAAAAAGGGAAATTTCTTCAGCCTGTTTGTGGTCCATTGTAGTGTCCCTCTGCTGAGAAAGCTGGTGCAGAACCTCTGATCTTTCAGTTGGTGTTGTCATCGAGACAAAGTGGGACAAGATGTGTTTGAAAGTTTCTTCCTGCCCTGCTGTGTGCTGCCCGTTGGCTGGTGGAGCAGCAGAGCAGAAATTCACTGTTGGCATCTGGCAAAGCAGCAGGAGAGAGCAGTTGTGAGGGGAAGGGGGGTGAGGTGTCTGCTCTTCAAGAGGGACAAGACAAAGGAGTTGGGGAATTGTCCTGGAACTCTGGCCTGGCAGGCTTGGAGCGCTGGGTGGGCGTTTCTTGAGAGCTGTGGTGGCCCCACTTCGTCCTGAGCCTCATTTGATGGCAGTGTGTCCAGAGGCAGCCCGGCTCCAGGCTGAAGCAAAAAGCCAGAGCGGGTGATGCGGGAGCTGCTCCAGCGCCTACCGCAGCCTGCGGCCCGGTGGGAGCGTCCCGGGCCCTGCCCCGGGGCGCCCTGAGGCGGGGCAGTGCCCACTCCCGCCGGCCGCCCTCACAAGGCCCAGGCCGCCTCCTTCCCACAAGGCCCAGCAGGGCCGCCCTCACACCTGCCCCGCCCTGCCCTGTCCCGCCCGGCCCCACCCTGCCCCGTGGCCTCTGTCACACCCCACGCTGACGTGCTGAGCCTTCCACCAGCCATTGTGACGCCACAGGCGCCAGTCGGGCACGGCTTTGTTGGTGCCCGCAGCCGGCGCTCAGAGCTGCTGGAGCCTCTCGGGGAGCAGCAGCACATCCCGCTCGGGGAGCATTGCGCGCCTGCATCGCCGTCTTGGCAGCTGCAGGCCACGACCACTGCGCAGGGCGACCTCGTCTGCCTTGTGCTTCATACCCTGTGCCCGTCCTTCTTCTCGTCCCCTTTGTCACCCTCCCCCTAAACCTCGCCCCGTCCCATTCCTCATCCCCACTTGGCTCCCGGCAGCCCGCCGGGGCCTTCTTGCCCTTCCTGCTGCTGGGAGCTCCAAGCAGGGCCATGCCGTGGCTTCTGAGCAAGAAGCGACGGCAGTCGCCCTCCAGCAGCCCCAGTGGGCAGCCCTGGGCTGCCACCAGCTCCAGCAGCGCCTCCCAGCTCCGGGAGCAGGGGCTGGGCAGGCTGCACCGCGCGGCCGCCCGCGGTGACCTGGGCTGGCTGAGGCGCTGGCGCTGGTACGTCAAGGTAGTCGGCATCGACAGGCCAGACCAGGAGATGCGGTGAGTTCTGGGCCACGCTGATGGCACACCTTGGCTGCTCCTGAGCCAAGCTGCAGTAGTCCTCGGCAGCCCTCTCTTAGGAACAAGGCTTGAAAAGTGACATTTGCCCTGTCAGCTGGGACAGGGAACTCTTGAGCTTTTCACTGCTCGGAGCTGCCGGCCGGGCTCCAGCGCTGTTGCAAACGCGTCTTGCCCACCTGCCCCTTGGCCGTGCTCTCTCTGCAGGGCTGTTCTGCAGCTGCTCAGCCCTCACTTGTTCTCTTCTGCCCTCTGGCTCATCAGGGCAGGGTTGCAGCAGCAGCAGCAGCAGCAGCAGCAGCAGCAGAGTCCGGGCAGGGTCCCCAGGGTGCTGGGTACAGACACAGCTTGGGCTCGTCCTTTGTCTGTCTGGGTTAAGAGCGTCCGTTTAATTTTTAGGACACCTCTGCATCTGGCTTCAGCCAATGGCCATGCAGATGTCGTCAGATATCTGCTAAGAAAGAACAGCCAGCCCAACCTCGCTGACAGCTTCAAGAGAACGGCCCTGATGAAGGTGTGTGCAATGCCTTCTGAGCTTGGAGGTGGGGCTCAGTGCTGGGGTGTTAAAGGGGAGGTGTCTGGCAGGATTCCTTGCAGGGCAGGGCCATAGAAACACGCCTATTGCAATGGGCAGGGCACAGCCTCTGTTAGCTGATCTTTGCAGATGGTCTTCTATGGCAGCACTCAGGAGCTGAGGGAGTTGTGAGAGAGGGGGATGGAAAAGTTGGAAGCCTTTCCCTTTTGGTGTGTTGTTGCCAGGCAGTGCAGCAGGAGCAGGAAGAATGTGTTGCTGTTCTGCTGGAACACGGTGCCGACCCCAATCTGGCAGACGCTGACGGCAACACTGCCCTTCACCTGGCTGTGCTCTCTAAAAACACAGCTGTAGCAGGGCTGTTACTGGAGCATCATGCCAACAGTGATGCTCAGAACCAGGTAACCTTGGCACGGGGCTAAAGCTGCTCTTTCCAAGAGCTGCAGAGCTTGTCTGTGTCTTTCTAATGGGGATTCTTTCTCCTTTTAGTGGGGATTTACCCCCTTGAAACTTGCAGCCTTGCAACAGCACGAGGAGATTCTGGAGTGCCTTGTGAACAAAGCAGCTGACAGGCCTGCTCAAGCCCAGGGGGAAAGGTGAGGGCTTTGTCAAAACAGCCCCCGGGTGTTCTGGGTAGTCTGCAAGTGTGACCCAGACGAGGGGCGTGGCAATGAGCTGGGCAAAAGAAGGAGCAGCCCCGTGGAAGCAGTTCCCCGTGGGACTGGTAAATGCAGGTCTGCCCTTGGCTGCTCTCGTACCTCAGGGGCTCTCGTCCTTTGCCCGCTGAGGTCTGCAAGAAAGCCTTGTCTGTGGTGCCCTCTCCCCACCCAGAGCCAGAGCCCCGGGGAAACTTGCCAGTAGCTCAGCAGCGTGGCTGCTCTGCAGGCCAGGGGGGTTTAAGGCACGGCAGAGTTGGGGCGTTCAGTGCTCTGAAGGGAAGCGTTGGGGGAAAGAGAAGCAACACTGTCCCAGGGGACACGAGGGGCTCCGAGCACAGAAGGAGAAAACTTCCTGCCATGGAGATGGTCAGGGGGTCGAAGGGCTTGCCCTGGGAGTTTGTGCAGCCGCATGTGGGGGGACTTTGAAGAGCAGTGCAAGGAGCCCTGAACAGCACAGCCTGAGCTGGTAGTTGAGGCTGCTTTAGGGAGGCCCCTTGTAAGAGAAATTCTCCAATGCTTCCATGGACTTGGCTTTGCTTTCATGGAGCTTGTAGGAAAGGGGGGAAGAGCTGTTTTGGGAGCAAGCAGGGGAAAACTGATGCAGGGTCAGACACGTTTCTGATGAAATTTTGCATGCTTTAGGAGTGCTCTTGTGGTTCCTGGAAGCCATGAGGCTCACCTGGAGGAAGATAATCTGCGCTTGCAGGAGGAGCTGGACAGGGCTGGCGCGGAGGTATGGAAAGCCTGTCCCCACAGGGAGAAACCTGGGGGTGCCTGTTGCTTCCTCTCCATCCTGAAAACGGACAAAACAGTGTTCAGTGTGTTCATTGGGGAGTAGAAGTGAAGCTTTGAAGGGACTTGAATGGATTTCAGTTCTTTGGGCAGAGGGGATGCACACAGACATGCAGCACCTGAGTTCTTCAGCAGCAGCTGGCTCCTCTCTGGAAAAGCTCCCCTGACAACTGTGGATTCTTCCCGTGGTTTTACAGCTGCAGGAGGAGGAAGAAAAGCATCTTCAGTCTGAGCATTGTGTTCCTGACTTGAAGACTGCTTTGGATGCCAAGAAAAGAGAGGCAGTAACTTCTTCCCTGGAACTGCAGGACCTCCTGTTGGCATCTTGTGAGACCAATCCGACTGTGAACCAACTGGAAGAAGACGCGCAAGAGTAAGAGAGGAACCCAGTGAAGCGAGGGGTCTGTGGCTTTGGGGATTGGGTGGAAACAGGGGGAGAGTCAGTGGGATTTTGAAGGACACTTCTGCTGTGGCTTCTGTTCCTTAGCACAGTTTGTCTGGCATTGGCTTTTCTGGTAATAAGAGCTGTATTTCTTCTTAAGCTTTGCAAGTGAGAACAGCAGATTGGAAGCCACTGTCCAGCAGCCAAGCGAGAGCGTTGAAGCCCTTCCGAGAGCCCTGCAAGCCTCTGCCTCAGTAAGCTGGTGCTAAATTTGCCTTTTTGTGACTCTTGAGCCTAGTTGCCTATTTCTGTGGGGCAACTGTCAGATGAAGTTTTCCTGGAGAGCCTGGGGAGCTCAGTTTCTGCCTTCTCCTCAGCAGAGGCTGCTCAGAAAGCAGCCTGGTCCTTTCCCCAGCTGCTACAAAAGCCCTGAGGGTATTTGGTGTGCTGGACACTGGAGGAATTCTTAGATTCTAAATGAGGAGTTTCATCATGAGCTCCAAGGGACCCAGAAGTATTGTTGCCAGAAGTGTCTCCCAAATTCTTAAGTAGGTGTAAAGTTTCTTCTTTCTGTTGGGGAATCTTTCAAGTGTTTCCTAGGCTGGTTTCCAGTAGATGATAAATACAGTTGCCATGGCCACCCCCTTGAGAGATTTTCCCAGAATTCACTGCCTTTAGATCATGCTGAGTTTCCTTTTCTTTTATTTCTCTGTGCACAGGGTGGTGAACTTTCCCAGCAGCTGGACATGGAGCCTGGAACAGGCATGCAGCTCGAGGCCCTAAACCAGGCTTTGCAAGAAGAGCTGTCCACTCTGCTTGGGAAGTGTGAACAACTGGAGAAGAGCAAATGTCAGCTGCAAGAAGAGGTGACAAAACACCACCATCATTTGGAGACTTTGGTGCTGGATGGCAGCCAAAGAGAACAGTGTACAGGAGAGGTGGCAGAAGGAGCTGACCAGGAAAGAAGTGCAAAGCTACAAGAGGTCAGCCTCGTTTTGCAAGTAAGTGAATTTCTCCCCAGTGTCCACAGGCTCTTCATTAGGAGCTTTGAAGCAGAGTGCTCATTTGGGCTTCTTTCCCACTGCAAAGAATTGTTTGCCCTGGCAGCTCCTGGGTTCTGCCTTGGTTGCTGCTGGGAGTGAGGAGGCAGAGCCGCCTCTCTGAGTCAGGCTGGGCCCTTGAAAGTGGGTGGGTGCAATTTTGTGCTGGGCAGAGCTCTCTTTTTCTTGTGGTGGTTGAAGGTGCACTGTCTCCTTCAGGCACAGGCAGCCCACCAGGCCCCACTAGGACAAACCAGAGACCATCATTGTGATTCCGTGAGAATCCAGTTGGAAGAAAGGATTAGAAATCTGGAAAGTGAATTGGAGAGGGTCAAAAACACCCAACAAGAGAGAGCTTCTCGTAAAGAAGCAACACAGGGAGGGATGGAAATGTACAAAGAGCTGTATGTGGAGGAAGTGAAAACCAGAAGATGCCTTGCCAAGAAACTGGAAAGGTAAGTCCGTGCTTGTTTGGAGTGGTAATAAGAGAGTCCTTTTTCTTCCTGCATTTTCCTTGGAAATCCATCTTCTCCATCTGGCCAGCATTATTGCCCTCCATTGGCCAACAGGGTCTGATGGAGTTGCCAAGACCCTCTCCTTGATATTTGAAAAGTCGTGGCAGTCAGGGGAAGTCCCAGGTGAGGGGAAAAAGGGAAACCCACTGTGCCCATCTTTGGAAGGGGTAGAAAGGAGGGCCCTGGGAACTGCCAAGTGTCAGCCTGCCCTCTGTGCCTGGGGAGGTGATGGAAAAGATCCTTCTAGAAGCTCTGTCAAGGCACGTGGATGACAGGGAGGTGATTGGAAGCAGCAGCACAGCTTCCCCAAGGGCAAGTGCTGCTTGACCAACCTGGTGGCCTTCTAGGATGGAGTGACTGCCTCAGTGGACAAGGGCTACCCATGTCATCTCCCTGTCATTCTGGAAAGCCTTTGACACAGTCCCCCACAACATCCTTCTCTCCAAAGTGGAGAGAGATGGATTGGATGCGTGGACTGTTAGATGGATAAGAAATTGGGTGAACAGTGCCATGCAGAGGTGGTGATCAATGGCTCAGAGTGCTGAGGGCCATCAGTGCCGAGTGGTGTCCCTGAGGGGTCTGGATTGGGCCCAGTGTTCTTTAATCTCTTCACTAATGATCCAGAGGAAGGGCTGGAGTGTGCCCTCAGCAAATTTGCAGCTGCCACCAAGCTGAGGGGTGTGGTTGACACAGCTGATGCCACCCAGAGGGCCCTGGACCAGCTGGAGAAGTGGGCCCATGGCAATCTGCTGATGGTTTAACCAGAGCCAGTGCAAGATGCTGGCCGTGGCTCAGGGCAGCCCCTGTATCAGTGCAGGCTGGGGGATGAAGAGGGGCAGAGCAGCCCTGCCGAGAAGCCCTTGGGCTGGAGGAGAGGCCGGACATGAGCCGGCGATGTGCGCTCGCAGCCCAGAGAGCCAATTGTGTCCTGGGCTGCGTCCAAGGCAGCGTGGCCAGCGGGTGGAGGGAGGGCATTCTGCCTCTCTGCTCTGCCCTTGGGAGAGCCCAGCTGGAGGGCTGCATCCAGCTCTGGGCTCCTCAGCACAGCAAGGACCTCCAGCTGTTGGACTGAGTCCAGAGGAGGCCACCAAGGTGCTTGGAAAGATGGAGCACCTCTGCTAGGAGGAAAGGCTGGGACAATTGCAACCCTTCAGCCTGGAAAAGAGAAGGCTTTGGGGTGACCTAATTGTGGCCTTTTGGGGTGTGAAGGGAGCCTACAAGAAGGATGAAGAGAGTGCATTTAAAAGAGCAGGTAGTGAGAGGACAAGGGGGAATGGCTTCAAATGGAAAGAGAATAGGTTTAGATTTGATCCTGGGAAGAAATTGGTTGCTGTGAGGGTGGTGAGGAACTGCAACAGGTTGCCCAGAGAAGCTGTGGATGCCCCATGGCTGGAAGTGTTCAAGGCCAGGTTGGATGGGGTTGTGAACAAGCTGGTCTGGTGGAAGGTGTCCCTGCCCAGAGCAGGAGGCTTGGAACTGGATGATCTTTAAGGTCCCTGCCAAGCCAAGCCATTCTAGGCTTGGATGCTGTCTGTGCTGTTTCTGTGAGACTGTGGGGGAAAGGCTGGTTCTTCCTGTGTTTCATGGTTTTCTTCACTAATTTGCTGTGCAGGCTGGAAAAGCTTCTGAGGATAGAGAGGAGGAAACTCCGGGTTAATGAAGAGAAAGGAAGTCAGTCCCAGCTGGAAGAAATGAAGAAGAGATATTCTGAAAAGGTCAAGGAAGTTGATAGATTCCAAAGAGAGGTGAGCTGCTCTCTGGGTGGGGCTCTTTGGTTGTGGTGTTCCTTCTTTTGAAAGCTGGGAGATGCTTTCCCTCTATTTCTTGTCATGCTGATGATTTTTTTTTTCCCCTTGGCTGCATTTTGGATGTGATGGGCTTTTCTTAATGCTCCTCCTGCTGTTCCAGTGGGAGATGACTCGAACTAATCTGGAGGTAGTTCTCCTTCTGGGGAAAGATGCAAATGTTGAGGGCAAAGCAGTAGGTGTAAGGGCTGATGGAGGCCAGGCTGTCCTGCAGAGGAGGGGCAAGCCAGGAGTGGCAGCCAGCCTGGCAGGGTGCGTGAGCTCCCGGGCCAGGGAGCCGTCCCACAGGCCCTGAGCAAGAAGAGCAGAACAGGTCCTGTGAGAGTGAGCGGGGTCAGCCAAGAGTGCAGATCCCCCGGCTGGGCCTGAGGGATGGGCAGGTCTGCCGTCCTGGCAGGACATCACGTGCATGGGCTGAGAGCAGTGGGGCCCAGCTCAGGCCTGGCTGCAGCTGGAGGGAGGCTGTGACAGCGTCCTCTGGGTGTGCCAGATGAATTGCTGCCCTGGCAGAGAGGGGAGGAACAGCGCTGTCACTGGCAGGGCACCATCAGCCCCTGAGCCCTGTCTCAGGCACGAGCTGAGCAGGAGGCCCTTGAGGTTTGGCTTTTCTCCACAGTGTTGTTGCTGCCCAGGGCCCAAGGAGGACAGGGGCCTCCCAGGGGAAAATCTGTCCCTTCTTGCTCACGGGGAGCTGTTTCAGCCCATCCTGTGGCGGGGAGCCAGAAGGGCTGTTCCCAGCAGTGCTTTTGAGGCTGCTGTGCCTGTGCAGCAGTGGCACAGAACCTCTCATCCCTTCTCCGCTCGTCACTCGGATCCGTTGCTGAAGCGGCGTCTGTCAGAGCCACGCTTGGGTTTGAAGGCATCCCTGTAGAATGGCTTCCTGCCTTTGCAGTCATTCCTTTGGAGTCCAGAAGCTTGGAGCATTTTTGCATGAGGAACTCCAAAAGGCTGGGAAGCTGAGGAATCCTATGAGAAATGATGGGAAAGCTGTTCTTGCTGGAAAAGAAAAGCCTGGTTGCACTTTGTGTCTAGTCCTGAGCCAGCAGATGATGAATAAAGTCTCCCTGGGCACCCCCTTTTGAGGTTTTCCAGGAATTCACTGCCTTTACACCACGCTGAGTTCCTTTTTTTATTTTCTGTCTGCAGGTTGCTGAACTTTCCCAGCAGTTGGACAGGGAACGTGAACAGTGCACGCAGCTGGAGGCCAAAAATCAGGCTTTGCAAGAAGAGCTGTCTGCCCTGCGTGGGGAGTGCGAGAACCTGGCCCTGGACAAATGCCAGCTGCAAGAAGAGCTGGCAAAACTCCACCATCATTTGGAGACCAACGTGGTGGATCGCAGCCAACTCGAACAGTGCAAAAGAGAGGTGGAAGAACAAGCAGACCAGGAAATAAGACAAAAACTCCAAGAAGTCAATGAGTTTTTGCAAGTAAGTGAATTTCTCCCCAGTGTCCACAGGCACTTCCTAAACTTCTCTTGTGGCCATGGTGTTTGGTCTTTTTCTTTTGCTCCTGTATTCTGTGGGTTAGCTTCTGTCTTTGCTGAAGGCAGTGGCAGAAGGCAATCTGGTTGGGCAGGAGTGCAGTCATGGGTGTGGAATGTGGCGGCAGGTCCCTGAATGCAAAGGCTGCCCAAGGCAGATTCCCACTTTGCAGTGCTTGGGGGGATCTCTGTGCGCTGCTCTGCTTCTCACTGCTCATCCTTGGATGGGTTTGGCAACTTGCAGCTGTCATGGCCAGACCTACAGGTGCTGCTTTGTCCTTGGAGGGGGTGAAAGTGCTCAGAAAAGGAGTCACTGAAATTCCAGGGATGGGAGGGAGGGGGTGGAGGTGGAGGTGGAAGCTCTTCTTGTCTTTGAAGAATCCCTTTGGACATGCCCTGTCCTACAGACCCAGTGTCTCTTCATTAGTAGCTTTGAAGCAGAGTGCTCATTTGGGCTTCTTTCCCACTGCAAAGAATTGTTTGCCCTGGCAGCTCCTGGGTTCTGCCTTGGTTGCTGCTGGGAGTGAGGAGGCAGAGCCGCCTCTCTGAGTAAGGCTGGGCCCTTGAAAGTGGGTGGGTGCAATTTTGTGCTGGGCAGAGCTCTCTTTTTCTTGTGGTGGTTGAAGGTGCACTGTCTCCTTCAGGCACAGGCAGCCCACCAGGACACCTTAGAAGAAATCAGAAGCAGTCATGTGGAGTCACTGAAAAAACAGTTAGAAGACAGAATTAGAGATCTGGAACGTGCACTGGGAAGGACAAAAAGCAACCAAGCAGAAAGACCTTTTCAAAAGGAATCCACCCAGGCAGAAGTGGACAAGTACAAAGAGCTGTATCTGGTGGAAGCCCAAAGAAGAAAAAGCCTCACCAAGAAACTGGAAAGGTAAGTCCCTGCTTTTTTGGACTGGTAAGAACAGACTCCTTTTTCCTCCTGCATTTTCCTTGGAAATCCCTTTTCTGCATCTGGCCAGCATCAGGTGTGACAGCAGAACGTGGCATCTTTGTGGGGAACGTTCCTTCAGACCCTTCCCTTCCTCAGACCTGTCTTCCTTTCTCTTTAGAGTTCCAGCAGTAACCCCACAGCAGCACCACTCTGGCATTATTGGTGTCTTTTCAAGTTGAGGTTGTTTTAGCAGGCAGTCTTTTTGCCAGTCTCTCCTCTCCTCATCCCGTGGGTGACAGAGAAGATGAATCTTGTGCCCTTTCCTGTTTGAATAAGGAGAGGCCTCTGGGAGAAGAGAGTTGGATTCTGTGAATCCAAAATAAGGCGGCTCTTTCTTGGCTTCTGTTTTGGCAGCGGGTCTGAGGGTTGAGCTTTCCTTGAGAAGGCCAGGGTGGCCCAGAGTTCTTCTGGAGGTGCCACTGGCTGCTCCTTGCACTTGGTGTGATTTCTTAGAAACAGGCCCTGTGAACAAGCTCAGATCAAAGGATGTGCTGGGTTTGGACGCTCTTCATGCCCTTGGCTTTTAGAAGTCGAGTAGTAGCCAAGGCTGTGGAGGGGAACTTTGCGAAAGCCTTCCTGCCAAAGATGACTCTGTGTGTGCTTGTGAATGTTTCAGAGCTACTGAGAGACTTGCAGTGGCGAACACCAAGCTCTTTTTGGAGCGCCACAGAAGCAGATCTGTGGTCACAAGCAGCGCTGTCAGCGGAGTTCTGGCTGCAAGTCCACTTCTGGATTCACCTGGCCTGGGACATGTTGGCCTCAGTTTGGGACTGAGCAGAAGTCTGGCTCTCAGAACACCACCCAGACACCTGTGGTAAAGCCCAAGACTTCTGCTCATCAGGTTGGTACAGATTTTCCAGAGTGGTCAAAGGCCAAAAAAGGTTGAAATGGAAGCAATGAGCTGTGGAACTCCATTCTTTTCCAAGAGAAACTGTGGGCAAGAGCTCTGTGGCACAGGAACCTCCCACCTAA